TTACATATATGAAATAACTGAAATTCTGTAAGTGTCCATAAGGATGAAGCATACAAGCTTGTACAGTATGGACATTAAAATGCTGGATGTATAATGGATCTAAATGTAAACGTGATATTGTTATTTGTTTAGGTAAGATCTGTCCACCTCCTCCGTATCTTCAACATGGAGACTACAGCATCAACAGTACAAAAGATGAAGTGATCACAGCAGTATCTTACACTTGCCAGTCTTACTATGTAATTACCAAGCAACAGGACGTTTATAAGTGTGTGGATGGGAAATGGGAGACTCCTCCGAAATGCCTGAGTGAGTCATTTTTGTCATTTTAATTTGTAATTGTTTTGTACTGTTTTTAATGTTATGTTTATGTTCGTCTCTGTCGTAGGACCTTGTGAAATTGATGATATTGTCGAGAAGTACAATCTACAGCTTCCTACAGAAAAGGTCTACATAAGGCATGCTGAAAAGTATACACTTAACTGTAGAGATGGATGGAATACTGGAAGTGAGCTGAAACCGTATGTGGATGTGTCGTGCTCCAACGGGAACCTACAGATTGACAAAAGTTGTGAGTATTATTTCGTTTTCAGAACCTGAATTAGTCATATTGGTGATCTATACAATTATTGATTTATTATTTATTTGGTTGTTTCTTTAGGTAACTAGGTATAAACTGGAGTGGTGATTGAGGTTCCCCATTCAGTAAAAATGACAAATGTATTTTTATACAAAAGAGGACATCCCTAAAAGGAGGTCTCGAGAGATTCTGTCAGGTTTAGCTCACTTCTTGTACAAATTTGCCCCATAATATAGTTAAGTATGTACACACACAAACTTGTACATATATCCCATTCAGCTACAAATGTAAAAATTATTTTTTTATATGTATTATCTCGCAGAAAATGGATTTCTTTGTATTTCCTATCTATGTCAACATTCCTTCAACAACCTTTTTTTTTTTTTTGATTAAAAAAATGTAATAATTAGGCTGACTTTGGTGTGGATTTTAGTTCAACATATTGCTCACATTGTATTTTATTAAAGCAAAACATATTTTGCTCACAATTTTGAACCAAAGTGACATACTCATGACCGTCTTCTGTGGAATACCATCTATCCATTCATCGCCATAACTGTTTATCCTCTGTAAGGTTCTGGGTTGCTTTGTGTGAAAAACAGAATGAAATTTAAATAGTTTTCCCCTTAAAATATTGTTTTCCCCCATTTTAAATCTGGCACACATGAGAGAATGTCTGTTCATTTGCATTAAAGCGCCATCAATGAACGCACTCAACACCTCTTCTGTTAGAGGTGTTCAAATCTAACACCTTGACAGAAGATGAGAGAGCCAATGAGGTCTGTGTACAGTTTTTTCTCCTCCTTATTGAGTGTGTTCACTTCAAATGACTTGAAATAACGTACACACATCATTTGAACTATTATGTGACATTGGGAGCTTAAAGGAATATTTAACACAAAAATAAAAATGTACTCACTCTTAGGCCATCCAAGATGTAGATGAGTTTGTTTCTTCATCAGAACAGATTTGGAGAAATTTAGCATAACATGACTTGCTCACCAACGGATCATCTGCAGTGAATGGGTGCCGTCAGAATGAGAGTCCAAACAGTTGATAAAAACATCACAATAATCCACAAGTAATCCACATGACTCCAGTCCATCAATTAACATCTTGTGAAGTGAAAAGCTGCATGTTTGTAAGAAACAAAACCATCATTAAGATATTTTTAAACTTCAAACTACTGCTTCCACCTAAATATGAGTCCTCTATTCCTAATATTGCTTTCTCCTGTGAAAAAGTTGTCTCATCTGAATCAGAAGAGAAATTAACACCACGCTAGTTTCACGTCTCTCCTATCACACCACAGACTGAATCTCTTGTAAATGTTACTCTTGCACCTCAGTTATCAAGTTCAGTGAAAATGTTCTCAGAGGACTCGAGTAAATATACCGTTATAATATTATTGCCGTTTTTTTATGTGTTGGTAGGCCATTTTTTGTACATTGTAATAGAATATATATGCTGTGAGATGACAAGCTATCAATATTTTGATATTTTAACTAATCAATATTTTATGTCCACATATTTATTTGGCAAGTGGCCATGCAATAAGAGGAATAATATACAGTGAATCAGTCATTTTCACAAAATGAACTAACAGTAAATGATTGATCACCCTGTAATTATTATTATTATTATTATTATTACAACACTGAAAGTTTAGCCTAATGAAACTCACAGTAAAATGTAGGTGTAACACGTATATTCTGTTCTGTTTTGGTTTAGTTTCTCTGTGTTCCCGTTTGCCTGAGTTTCCTAGTTTGTTTCCATGGTTTCTGATTAATTAGCTCCTCACCTGTTTCTGTTCTTACTGATTACTCCATGCGTTTACCCTTAGTTACCCTTACCCTTAGTAAGCCCTTAGTTTTTCATTAGTTCTTTGTCTGGTATTATATTTGTTTCTTTGTGGTTTGCGAACTCCTGTGATTTCCAGTGCTTTCCTTGTGGATTATTATTAGGGAACTCTTGGTTTTGAATTCTTCTCCTTTGTCGTGGGCTTTATACAGCAACATGTAACAGTAGGCCTACTCACAAAATGTTTTCCCCCCTAATTTATCAGAAAAAAAAGATAAAGCTGGAACAAAGTGTATACTTTATAATGTAATATAATAATCATACTATATGACACCCATTTAAATATATCCCTTGATGATTTATAATATCTAATTTATAAATGCATTTACAAAAGCTTGGCTCATGCACAATCACAATTGGGAGAATTTATTAGAAATGCTGACTTCTGTTTAACCAATAGAAGCCAGTAAAATTTACAGAGTGCAGTGAATTACTTTAAATCATTACACCATACAAAAAGGATTGAAATGATTAAAGCTTATTCTTTCACAATGGCCTCCTGATGTGTAATTGTCTCACTTTTTTCACCTCTAATGAGTTTATATATATATATATATATATATACATATATACACACACACACACACACACACACACACACACACATACATATCACTCCAAACTTCTCACAGGAACCACTTGGTGGTGCAGTTGCTTCATGAAGTACCTGGTCATAAACAAACAGGCCTGTTCATCACTTCATCTCTATCACCAATTCATGAAACTTGCTATATGGTAAAGCACTAAGACATTATAGTCATAACATTATGACTTTTTGTAAGGCTGTAATGTGAAAAACTCTATACAAATAAATTTACTTTAATTAGCAATTTACCAGTGATTGTTTATTTGGTGAAAAAATATGTAACAGCTTTAAATTCTGACCTTCAAGAAGTGACATTATTGGTTTGCTACAGCATGACAAGTAGTAGTTACAAGTAAATAATGTTTTATCCATTTTTACAAATGTTGTAGCGCTGAACATATTTTTTAATCTCAGCCTTCAGCCCTGTTATTGAGCCTATGAAACAATGATCAAATTAATCATTTTCTTTAATTTATAGGAAGTTTATCAAACCTTTGATCCAAAGCTACAGTAGCACCTGAGCTTAATTTTATGCCAAAATGTAAAACCTTGTTGCTCATTCTGGAATTTTTGATGAATAGGAAAAAAAAATGCTCATCTAATGTTTAATTTTACATTTAGGATAAATGTCAAAAAGGGGGGAAGAAACACACACATTTTGAACCTATTGAATGGGCTAAAGCTCAGCAAACACATGACAACTATTTACATATCAGTGTTTATCAAACGTCCACAGTGTAAGATCCAGTAAATTACGTCCAACTTTTACGGGAAAAAAACATATTTATTCAGTGTAAGATGAGGAGGATCATCTAGGTCATACGAGACAACAACATTTTTCATTTTTCATTTTTCAAGTATCAAGTCTTTATCTATCTCCGTTTTTTTCCACTGCAGTATTGCAATTGCAGTTACAGATATATTATGCAATTGCTGTGTTATTGCTGTTTTGTAAGCTTGTATATTATGAAACTTCTGTCATCTCACTCATTTCTGTAGTTTCTTTCTTTACAATGCTCTGTGTGACAGATTAATTGATCAAATACTGTTCTTCTTGAAATATAGAGTACACCATGCAGTGAAAAAAAAATCTATCAGGTGTAATATCTACAGCACAGCAATTAAAACATCAATTATTTTGCAACTCACTTTTTGCTTCCTGTTTAACTGTATGTTACATAAATTTGACTTTAGAAGTTTGACCTCTCAAATTTGTCTTTTGGTTTGTCAAACGCGAATTGCAGTAAATATTGTTGTACACAGAGAGGTCTGGGTTAAAAGCGATGACTTTTTGTTGATCCACAAGCAAGGAAAAGTTTCAGAGACAAAGACTAAAAAGTTATATCTTAAGTGAACTCAAAACTAGGGTTTCTATACAAATCTTTAGCTTTGTATTTTAGTTGTTTTCATCAGGTTGTCAAAGTCAAGGCAATGCATTATTTTGTAATGTCATTTTTCTTTTCAATTTGATTTTATTGACTTGAATTTAAATGTTAGACATCTTGTAATGCACTTCTTAAAACGTAGAAATATACTCGAACTGCATGATACCAAAATACACTGATACAACCTCCTGTGTGTTCAGTTGACAAATGTAAATGTCAGATAAATCTTTTCTTTTAATCAAAATATCATTGTGCATGTTCATGGAGTGGTCTGATGTAAAAGCATCCACCTTTTGACTTTAGTAAATGATTAACGTTTTGATCCCCCATCATGCAAACAAAGACCAAAATCAGAAAACAAAAGCATTTGTGAGGTGAGCTGAAAATGAGAGTTCCTGTACAAATCATTAGTTTTTCCTGTTTCCTGTTTACTGTTACCTTTGTGCAAAGTCAAGGTGAGTTTATTAATTTTATTAAGTAGAATACTATACTTATTATATGCACTTCCAACACTTTTAAGTGACCTTAAGTGGTTTTAGAAGGTGTTGTGCAGTACATCTTTGTATGTGTGTTTGTTTGTTCTTCTCAGAATGTCTTCGAGAGGACATTAAATATGAAAGCACAGAACCAGTTGAGAAAGCTTCATACGCTGATGGTGAAACAGTGAAAGTGAACTGCATAACAGGTTATACTGGCTTGTATAGATTAAACTGTGAAAAAGGAGAATGGAAAAAATCCATTGAGCGGCCATGTGCAAGTAAGAGAATTGTCAATATGATGACGATATAATTTTTTCATTAACAAATCAGTGTTACCATGTTAAGTTAAATTTGTTTGATTTCTGCAGAGAGAAGATGTAGTCATCCAGGCGACATACCAAATGGTGATTTTAAACTTAAAGAGGGGACAGAGTATGTTTTTGGAACAACAGTTGTGTATAATTGCAAGAAAGGGTAAATATGCTTATGCTTTTTTTATCATAAGAAATGTATACTTTCCTCTTTGAGTTTGACACTCTTGTACTTGTAAAAACATTGTGTTCACAGGTATGAAATGACAAGCAGAATCAATCAGCGTACCTGCAGAGCTCAAGGATGGGACAACGCCGTCCCTGTCTGTGAGGGTACGATTTAATATCTCCATCATAGAATAGTGACTCATAATCTAGAAGAGAACTATAACTAAAAAGATTTATAGATGTATTATTGAGTGATTGTTTTGTTGGTTTCTTTATTTGTTATAGGAATTTAAGGGGGTCTGAATACTTTCCGTACCCACTGTATATTAACTCTTTGGGCCTCTTCGTTTAGGGGTCACACCTGGCTCCTTCGCGGTCAAAAGTGATCGAAGCCTTGAACTGTAACTTATTTTTTTCAGGAAAATCAATGTAATATATTTTTGTTTAATAATATTTTTTGATTATTATTTAGAATTTTAGGGGATTTTATGATACTGTGCAATATTTATACAATTTTAATTAGGTTTTTTTTCATTAAAATTCATATATTTTTATTTATTTAATTATTTATTATTTTTCAATAAATGCAATATTTAATGTTAAAACAGAGTGAAACGTTTCAAATCCATTTTTTTTTTAAGTGAGAATTGTGCCATCTGGTGGCATAAGAAAATAAAAACTTGTGTAATGTCATGTAAACTCCTGTATAGTTCCCTACATACATATATACAGAGGCCTTTGGATTCCCATTGTTTTTTAGACATAATTTCTTACTTTTATTAGGTTTTACTTTTAGATATATATTTAGACATTCTAAAAGAGTACTTTTTGTCAAGGTTTAGATATTTTTGGTTAGATAAATATCAGGTTTTGCATTATGATTTCAATCAAACATTGTATGTGTATGTGCATGCGTGGGTGTCTATTTGGCACTCTTTATATTTTAGAGTGCCACCCCTTGATTGCTGTGCACTTTTTTTGCACAGTGGCTGATTTGTAGTTTGTACCACCAAAAGATTCTCTGAGTTGTATTTTTTTGTATTTCCCATTCATTTCCTATGTCGTTCATTTTTGACTGAGAGAGAGAGAGAGAGAGAGAGAGAGAGAGAGAGAATCTTTTGTATATTTTTTTTTTTCATTTAATTTCACATATTCTAAAAAAATTTGCTCTGTTGCAGTCTTACCAGTTCATATCTATGTGTGTGTGTGTGTGTGTGTGTGTGTCTATTTTGCACTCTTGATATTTTAGAGAATCACCCCTTGATTGCTGTGTACTTTTGTTCTGCAGAGTGGCTGATTTGTAGTTTGTACCAGCAAAAGATTCTTGGAGTTTTCATATTTTTTCGTATTTCCCAATTATTTCCTATGTCGGTCATTTTTGACCTCGAAGGAGCCAAGTGTGACTTTTTTTTCTATTGACCCTTTAACATATCCGAATCATGTCCATGATTTTTTTGTGTGTGTTTACATAGCTAATGTGACAAAAGTCACCAAGTGTCATCTCATTCCGATGAAGCCACGATATTTAAAAATTCGAAATAAAACATTTGTTTCAGTCAAAAATGACCAAAGAGGCCCAGAGGGTTAACAAAATAGATATTTGTTCGACCTTAGTTTAATTTTTATTTTAACTTCAAAGTGGAGCTTAATGTTGTCAACACACTAATATTTGTAAATGGAATGAGATTATTTACTTGTCGTCCTGTCATGCTGTAGAAAGGGTCCAATTGTGTTTTTTAGGCAACAGCACTCACATGCAAAATGTGTGATATGGCTAAACATTATTATTAGGCAACAACAAAATTAGCTATTGTAATAACTACTTACTTCAATGATTATATTATTCAAAACACTAAGAATGTTTTATCATTTCAGTTGTCGAGAAAGTGACTAACTTCATGGGAGAGCAATCCAAACATTCGAAATTAGCTACTTGTCATACTACCTTAATTTTCAGTTAATACACTACCTATTATATCATCGTCATGGACCAAAGGTAGTTCAAAAGTGTTTACTAGCTAGAGCAAACTGTTCCAGAAAGTTTTCTTTAGCAAGCTGTTTCAAACTTTCGATTCAATTTTGCTTTAATAAGATTGCTTTAATCCAGAACTGTCTCTCCTGTCTCTGTACTCTATTAATTGGAGTTGTTTGTTTTAGGGGCAGTTGTTGCCTAATGGTTAGAGAGTTGGACTTGTAACCTGAAGGTTACAGGTTTGAGTCTCAGTACCAGCAGAGATTGTAGGTGGGGGGAGTGAATGAATAGCGCTCTCTTCCACTTTCAATATCCACGACAGAGGTGCCCTTGAGCAAGGCACCGAACCTCCAGTTGCGCTGCAGCAATGGCTGCCCACTGATCCGTGTGTGTGTGTGTGCAGATGGATGGAATAAATGCAGAGCACAATTTCCGAGTATGGGTTACCCATACCTTTCATTTTCAACACCATTGCAAATACAATAACCTAAAAAAATATAGTTTGTCTTCACATTCCCTTCTCCATGACAAGTGAGTGTCAGAAACCGTGTGAACAAAAGTTATTTCTGCTTTTCTGTAAGCGCCACCTACTGTCAGATTGTGAAATAGCATTTTCATCCAGCCTACTGTTTACACATTGATCTGACTCTGAACTCAAATCGTATGAGATAATCAAACAGAATTTTCATGGCAAACATTTGCTAGTAAAATTTCACAACTGATCACAAAGAAAATGGCAAGTGACACATTGAATTAAACATGAATTTCCGAAGTAGAAAGACTGAAATAGTATTTTATTGTAAAATACACTCCAGTAATCTTTATTTTTTTGTAGTGTCGCATATACTGTACATCTAATAGTTCTCAAAACAGAAAATGTGCATCTAATGCTTACAAAGGGACAACACATTATTATGCTCTGTTCATTGAAAGCTATCTTTTTTCGTTTTTCTTTTTTTTTTAGGATTAAAAAAAAAATCAAAAGAATTTAATCCTTCAAAAAAAGAATTCAGTCCTGGTTCATCTCTTCTTACCATTACTTTTATATAATTATGTCTTGTACAGAAGTAACCTGTGAGCTGAAGTCAACCACATTTGGAGTAAAAAAGACCAACCCATATGGAAAGACTATTTTCAGAGCTGGAGAAAGTGTGGAGATCACCTGCTCTGAAAAACACTTGTTCTTTGGTACAAAAGTAACGAGCAGATCATTTAAATGCAAAGATAATGGAGAGTGGGACTATGAGCCTGTTTGTGCATGTAAGATTATAGAGAGACATTTCTGGATTTGGTGATGAATTTATTGCATGTTATTAAAAGCATGTGAATCTTGTTTCAGAGATTACATGTGAAACTCCATATGACCAGCATGTGTCTAGACCATACTATTACTTCAGTGGAGATAAGAAACTGGGAGCAATAAAATCGTACAGTTGTGAGTCTGGATATCGTAAAATGGCAGAAGAGGCCACATGCACACGAGACGGATGGACACCAAAACCACTGTGTGCTGGTATGTTCTGCTGTGGAGTATTAAAATATTTGCTATTCACATTATGCCAATACCAATTATGTTTGTATGCATATATATATTTTTTTTTTATTTTTTTTTTATTTATTTATTTATTTTTTAAAGAAATAATGTGTGCAGTACCTAAAATCCTAAATGCGTAGACTGTAGGACATTGGCAACCACACTACAGAATCAATTCAAGAATACAATATAAATGTCATCTTGGATTTGAACCAGAGGAGCCTGTACAAATCACCTGTGATTCCCACGGCCAGTGGAGAGGCGTACAGCAATGCACAGGTATGTTACAGCTTATTGACAATTCACCATTAATTCCATTGAAGGTTATAATACAACTTTTTAATTATAAAATCAATTTAGTATATATCTGCACAATAATAGCTCAAAAACATAGGAAACCCCTGACTTAGGGGCGAAAAGAAGTTCAAAATACGAGATGCCGCGCCACCCATGCTGATGAGAGCGGTTTTTAGATGAATTTTAGATGAATATGTAAACAAGTGCTGTGCGCTTTCTTCTCAACAACAAAGTAAACACAACAAATGACAGAAGTGAGAAAACAGCAGGTAAGGAAGCATCTTATCACATTGATGCGAATACGTTTGCACCAGCTCTGCAATGCAGCACTCCAGTCAAGTCAAATGTATTCATATAGCAATTTATATAATTGATTGCTTTAAAGCAAGCAGCTTTACAGTGTTAACATGAAAAAACAGTGTTAGTGTCACTTTCGATCACATTTACTGCTTCAGTAATATAAATCAGCTCTCCAGTGTGTTGTTTTTACTCGAATCTGACCTTGATGGACTGAACAGAAGAAATGAACCGGAGAATGAACCCAGAGCCACACCTACCTATTATGTCATCGTCACAGACCAGTGGTAGTTCATATGTGTTTACTAGCTAGAGCAAACTGCTCCAGAATGTTTTCTTTAGCAAGCTGTTTCGAACTTTCGATGTCAATTTTGCTTTAATCAGGTCCTTAACAGAAGAAGAATCCAGAACTGTCTCTCCTGTCTCTGTACTCTATTAATTGGTGTTGTTTGTTTTAGGGGCAGTTGTTGCCTAATGGTTAGAGAGTTGGACTTGTAACCTGAAGGTCACAGGTTTGAGTCTCAGTACCAGCAGGGATTGTAGGTGGGGGGAGTGAATGAATAGCGCTCTCTTCCACTTTCAATATCCACGACAGAGGTGCCCTTGAGCAAGGCACCGAACCTCCAGTTGCGCTGCAGCAATGGCTGCCCACTGATCCGTGTATGTGTGTGTGTGTGTGCAGATGGATGGAATAAATGCAGAGCACAATTTCTGAGTATGGGTTACCATCCTTGGTATCACGTCACTTTCACTTTCATTTTCAACACCATTGCAAATACAATAACCGGAAAAAAATATAGTTTGTCTTCTCATTCCCTTCTCCATGACAAGTGAGTGTCAGAAACCGTGTGAACAAAGGTTATTTCTGCTTTTCTGTAAGCGCCACCTACTGTCAGATTGTGAAATAGCATTTTCATCCAGCCTACTGTTTACACATTGATCTGACTCTGAACTCAAATCGTATGAGATAATCGGACAGAATTTTCTTTATGTTTTCTGGGAGTAAAAAGGATTAACCCAGATGGAAAAACTGTTTTCAAAGTTGGAGAAAGCATGGAGATTATCTGCTCTGAAAAAAACGTATTTTTTACAAAAGAAACCAGCAAATCATTTACATGCCAAATTAATGGAAAGTGGGACAGTAAACCTGTTTGTGGTAAGATTATAGAGAAACCATTTCTGGAATTTGTGCTGAATTCATTGTATATTATCAAAAGCATGTGAATTGTATTTCAGAGATTACATGTGAAGTTCCACGTGACCAGCATGTGAATGGCCCGGAATATTCCTTCAGTGGAGATATGAAATTAGGAGCAAAGAGATCGTACAGTTGTGAGTCTGGATATCATGAAACAGCAGCAGAGGCCACATGCACACGAGACGGATGGACACCAAAACCACTGTGTGCTGGTATGTTCTTCTGTGGAGTATTTAAAATCGTTGCTACTCATAATATAAAAAATTCTAAGATTACTCTGATGTATGTTTTTTGATTGTTTGGTTGTTTATATATATATATATATATATATATATATATTTGGTTGTTTATATATATATATATATATATTAGAAATGATGTGTGACCCACCAAGAATCCCAAATGCAGAGATTGTGGGAGGTCAGAGAATAAACTACAAAATCGGTTCAAGAATAGAATATAAATGTCGCTCTGGATTTGAACCAGAAGAGCCTGTACAAATCACCTGTGATTCCCAGGGCCAGTGGAGAGGCGTACAGCAATGCACCGGTATGTTACAGCTTGATCTTTTTGATACAGATAAGCCAATATGTTTTTGTTATAGCTAATAACGGATAAATAGCCAGCATATTCTACAATATTTGTCTAAATAACCCCATAAGCACTGGGGTTATTTATGGGGTTTCCGCCTGGATTTGGCATACCCAAATTTACATTTATTTGTTTACCCTACACACATACAATAGAGGAAATAATAATAAAAATAAAAAAATTGTGTCATTTTATAGAAAACCCCTTGAAATACAAAATCAGATTGTAATTCTTCATAAATAACATTATATATGTTTATATAATATTACAATAAACACAAAAAAATAGGCGCTTGTTCATTTTTTTTTTCAGAATTTTTTTTTTTTTTTATTTGTTATTCGGGTTCTATTTGCAGCAGCTATCAGCAACTTACATTGTTTGATTCCACTAGGTGCCAAAATGTATCAGAAAAATGTTTTTTTTCCCATAACAGCTTCTAAACAGGAGTTATTGAATTATAACTGATGGGAATGTGTGTGTGTGTGTGTGTGTATATATATATATATATATATAATATATAATTTTATTTTATTACTTTTTTTTTATAAGTTTCCTTTGCAAAACCTATTTGACAATGTGCCATAGCACTTTTCCTTGATTACTGATTGAATTATTTTAATTTTTTTGTCTTTTTCTAGTAATATACAAAATGGCATAAAATAATTAGATCAAATATTACTTTTTGTGTTTTATACAATCATTTTTTATTCTTTTAGGAGACACAAGATTTTAAATGATTTTAAATAATAAAATCTATGTGGTCTAATACAATCTAAAACAGAATCCACATCCTCCAGCTTTAAATCATTCCTTATATGTGCATCATTTTTGCCCCCTGTGTTGAGCATCATCTCAGCATCCCACCTGCCTCCTGGAGATGAGATGTCAGCTGTGCCAGCTGCTGCTGCTGCTCACTAATCTTCAACAGAAACTGAAACAAAGAATTCACTGTTTATGCACACAGTTTTTGCTTTATAATAATATCCATTTCACAAAATCAATTACTGAATTGGTATTTTTATTCCATTTTTTATACTGCATCCTCTACTGTACTTTTTTTGTCAAAAAAAAAACAGTTTATCAGATTGTTTGCAGTACTTTCACATTTCAAAATAATAATAATTCTATAAAAAAATACAAAAAAATTAAAAATAAGTACAAGCACTGTAAATGCATATGGATGCGCTTACCAAATGCAGGGTCCTCTGCTCTCCACTGTGTCACTGTCCGACGCTACATCTCTTTTTCTTTCAGTTTCGCTTTCAAAGATCGCTTATTCGCTGCCTTCGATGCTTTTCCTTTTCCACATGCCATTATCGACATCAAAACAGTCCATAAACTATAAATATACACGGAAACACCGGCCAAATTTCAAATTTCTCGGCTGTGAATGGCCTGCACGCTTGAGTGACAGTCTGCGCAGCATGACAGAAGTGCCTGATCTGTAGAACATCGACAGGCGCTCAGTAAACACGCACGCTCTGAGCAATGCGAAAATTCGTGTCTGGGACGAATGCATTTTTAAGCTTAATTTGACTACTTTATGTATCATAAAACCAAAAGTTATGGTATTCTTTGAAAAAGATTAGAATCTAAGCTTTCAAATTATACCATATGTGGGCTGATGCCATATAAGGAAGCCTTTAAAACAGAAGCGTAAACATTATAACATAGATTTTAACATAGTTTTGGACCCGTATCCGGGTCCAGAGATAATCATTAAAATCAATAATTCCAAATTAATAGTTCACCTCATTTACTTCTATGATTGCTTTGCAAATTTTCTGAATGTTTCATCTGTTTTTGTCCATGCAATAATAGTCAAAGAAGTCCAACAGTTTCAAGCACAAAAAAAGGATATAAAGTTAGCATAAAAGTAATCCAGCAGTATTATCCAAGATTTCTGAAATGATGTGACCACTTTGTATGATGAAAAGAGTGAAATTCAAAAGTTTAAATTCACTCTCAAATCAAATCACCGATCACCTTATGTATGCAGTGCCCAAATGTAACATCAATAACATTAAAACTTAATATAAGCACCAGTGACATTTAATATTATCTGGTTTGATGTTGCTGTTTTTTCCCTCCTACAAGACACTCTATAAACTACTGTTAATACATTTTGGGTGTTCACAAATAAATTATTTGTTGAAAATGAAATGTTTAATCTTTTTCTTTATTTCCTTCTTTTTTCTTTAAACACAGATGGTATCTGTCAGGAGCAAGAACTCAAAAATATAGAAATTTTATTTGGATATCCAAGCTTCACTTCACCTTATAAACATGGACATATCTTGGTTTTTCGATGCACTGATGACAACATGAGTTTTTATGGCCAACATGCAATCAAATGCCAGACAGATGGGAGGTGGAATTACCCATATCCACAATGTGGAGGTACAGACATATTCCACCAACTACAGATGTTATGGAATTATATGCATATAATTTATATGTAGAAACGTTTCAGCCCAGTCTCACAAAATGCTTATGGTGACATTTTCCCTACACTAAACTAAAGCAAATGAAGCAACTATTTAAACTTGCTTCTTTGACATTTGAGCTCAGTCTTTCAATATTTCGCCCCACAATCAAAATTTATGTGAAAGGAAATTTAAAAAGTTGTTGGGAGTGTTTCTTTCAGCTGAAACAGCAGAGAATTACACACACACACACATACAGTATATATATATACACACATATATATATATATATATACTGTATATCAGTATGTTTCTGGATTTTCACAAGAATGTAAGTACAGTGGAGTCACATTTTTCCAGGGAGAAAAGTTTGAAACGTTTCTATGAATCAAAATAATGAATCAGCACATATTAATTTACTACCACCTGAATATAATATGTATAATATTTAATACATTTTGCATTGAACTGTTCCTCTAGGGAAGGTTCAGTGCTCCCAACCAACAAAGAACTTGCAGTTTGTGACACTGTCAGATGAGAAAACTGAATACAGCAACTTTGAGATCCTGACATACACGTGCAATAAACCGTACAATGAAATTCCAAGAGGAGTTTTGATGTGTCAAAATGGAAAATGGAACGGAACGTTTGACTGCAAAAGTGAGTCACCAAGAAATTTTGCATTCACATTTAATTATCCAGCAGCAAATCTGACTAGTTCTATTATGATTCAATCACAAATGTGGATTGTGGGTGCAGACTGTATTATAGAACATTTTGCAAATGAGTGCACATGATGAAGTGTACAAGATTGTCTGTGGACACTACAAAATTCTGCTCAAAATAAATCAAAATATGTCTGATACTAATATTTCTTTAGGTAAGATCTGTCCACCTCCTCCATATCTTCAACATGGAGACTACAGCATCAACAGTACAAAAGATGAAGTGATCATAGCAGTATCTTACACTTGCCAGTCTTACTATGTAATTACCAAGCAACAGGACGTTTATAAGTGTGTGGATGGGAAATGGGAGACTCCTCCGAAATGCCTGAGTGAGTCATTTTTGTCATTTTAATTTGTAATAGTTTTGTACTCTTTTTAATGTTATGTTTATGTTTGTCTCTGTCGTAGGACCTTGTGAAATTGATGATATTGTCGAGAAGTACAATCTACAGCTTCCTAAAGAAAAGGTCTACATAAGGCATGCTGAAAAGTATAGACTTAACTGTAGAGATGGATGGAATACTGGAAGTGAGATGAAAGCGTATGTGGATGTGTGGTGCTCCAGCGGGAATCTACAGATTGACAAAAGTTGTGAGTACAATTGTTTCTCTCTTTTTCAGATTTTTTTTTTCAGTGTACTGTATATACATATTTGTGTGTTTGTTTTTTTTGTCAGGTGATATACAAAATAACTGAAAATAACCTGGATTTGTAACTGAGGTATAGTAAGTGAATTCATTTGAACAATAATTGTTGAGAATGTTCAACTTTGAAATGTAAGTTTGTGTGTTGTAACATGCACTGATAAATAATAAATATTGTTAGTGCCCTAATAATGTCACTTTCCCTAAACATGTATCAACATATAAGTATGTATTTGTCATAGTCTATTGTATTAAGATCTGAAGAAACATAATGCAGGAAGAAAATGAAGATGGACAGACATATACACACACACACACACACAACCATGCATATATATGCTTGTGGGAACATCCTTCGTCTACATGTGTTAGTTATGCAATTGTTATTTTGATTTCTTTTGTGTCAACATATTTCTTCAACCCTTGCAAATAAAATATATTAATGACTAACTTTGGTGTTCTTTATTTCAACATGTTCCTTGCATTGTATTTATGCATTGTATTTATATAAAACATTGCTGCAGAGCAGTCTTTCACTCACATCTAAATGAGCCCAATTGTAAATGAAGTGACACAAACTATACAAACTGCCATATTACTAGCAAGAGAGTTACTCTATCCACGGGTTTCTACAAGCAGCGTCATAATAACTCCATACTTACATGTACATGCATTTAACATAAAAAAAATGTGAAAAATTAATTGATTAAAAATTATTAAATTCAATCTCGTTTACAAACACTTAGTTAATACAAGATGCATGTGACAGTGTGGAAAATAATATAGCCTACAGAGAATTCATGACTAATGCTGACTTTTGTTCATTTCACATATTAACCAAGGGTTCAGGGTTTGGCTTGTTACTAGCAATTTTATTTTTGTCTGTAGCAGTCACCAGAAAGGCATTTTGTATATGTTCTTCTTCTTTGAGATAAAACTTCATCTCAATACTCACGAAACACTTAGTGACAGCAGTTTACATTATGTGTTAATCATTTAATGTACTGTTTAATACAAGTCTACTATACATATACATAAGTCCACTATATACAGTACTGTGCACTTGAAGAAACCTTCCTTAGGTCATCTAGGAGACAACAACAATTTAAGCAGTATCAAACACTATAGGTGTCAAACTCTTCTTCTGCCTCTACTTTTTATCAGTTCAACAGATTGCTCAATTCTAATGGAAACATTTTGCAATGGCAGTTACAGACATATTTTGCAATGACTGCACTATTGCAACGTTTGAAGGCTTGAAAGTGTTGTGAATCTTTTTTCATTTCACTCATTCTAATGGGACAGATTCATTCATCACACGTTCTGCTTGAATCAGTCATAATGTACATGAACCAGTTAAAAACATCTAACAGGATTAAGCAGTAAATATGGCAGTTTGGAATCTGCCCTTTGCTTCCTGTTCATACGTTACAGACATTTGACGCAAGAAGTTAGACTTCTCTAAGGTAACTTTTTGGTGTGTCCAAATAACAAAGATGAGTTGCTGCATCTGATAAGATTTTTTGTTTTCTCACTTACAGGAAATATTGCTTGTGCACAGAGAGGTCTGGTGTAAGAAAGACGCCTTTTTGACAAGCAAGCAAGAGTTTCAGAGACAGTCCAAAAAAGGTACTTGTGAACTGAGCTCAAAATGAGAGTTCCTGTAAAACTCCTCGGCTTCGGCTTTTGGTTGCTTTCCTTCAATTTTGCTCAATGTCAAGGCAAGTGATTAATTATTATTATTAATATTATTATTATTATTATTATTATTATTGTCTTTATTTGTTTGAATGTCTTGTTCCTTTACAGTAGATATTACCAACTTAAATATAAATGTTATATTATATGCAGTTCCCAAAACATTTAACTGACCTTATGTAGCTTTAGAGCGTGTTGACTAGTTGTGCATTCAGCATTTAATATACATAAAACAGTTATGTCTTTGTGTAACATTTGTTTGTGCTATTCAGAATGTCTTCGAGAGGACATTAAATATGCAGACATAGCACCAGTTGAGAAAGCTTCGTACGCTGATGGTGAAACAGTGAAAGTGAACTGCATGGCAGGTTATACTGGCTTGTATAAATTAAAGTGTGAAAAAGGAAAGTGGAAAAACTCCTTTGAGCGGCCATGTGCAAGTAAGAGAATTGTCAATATAGGATGGCCACATCATTTTTTTTGGTTATTAAATCAGTGTTACCATGTAAAGTAAAACTTGTTTGATTTCTGGAGAGAAAAAATGTAGTAATCCAGGAGACACACCAAATGGTGATTTTAAACTTAAAGAAGGGACGGAGTTTGTTTTTGGAGCAACAGTGGAGTATACTTGCAAGAAAGGGTAAATGTACTTTATGCTTTTTTATTCCCTTTTTTCTTGTATTAAATTTATACTATCCTCTTTGAGTTTGACACTCTTGTACTTGTAAAAACATTGTGTTCACAGGTATGAAATGGCAAGCAGAATCAATCAGCGTACCTGCAGAGCTCAAGGATGGGACAACGCCGTCCCTGTCTGTGAGGGTACGATTTCTTGAAAGTCACTGTTTTCTGGGGTTTTTTTATTTCTCTCAGTCATATGCTGTTGAAACATTGAGCCCTATTTTAACGATATAAGCGCATGGTCTAAAGCGCTCGCCGCAGGTGCACTCAGGGCGTGTCCGAATCCACTTTTGCTAGTTTAACGACGGGAAAACGGTCGGCGCGCCCGGGCGCATGGTCTAAATGGGTTGTCCCTATTTTATCTTAATAGTTATGGGTGTTTTTTTTGGGTGTAACGTGCAATAAACCAATCAGAGTCTCATCTCCCATCCCCTTTAAATGCCAGTTGCGCTCGCCCCATGGTGGGTACGCTATTCACATGGCGGAATGTAATTTTTCATTTTTAAAAATGTGTATGTGCTGCTGCGCGTCCCTGTGTGTGTAAGAAGCAAAGTGTATTTGCGTTGTGCACCCGCCTATAGGCGCATATTACACTTTTACATGCCAAGATAATGGAGAGTGGGACTATGAGCCTGTTTGTGCAGGTAAGATTATAGTGAAACATTTCTGGATTTGGTGATGAATTTATTGCATGTTATTAAAAGCATGTGAATCTTGTTTCAGAGATTACATGTGAAACTCCATATGACCAGCATGTGTCTAGACCATACTATTACTTCAGTGGAGATAAGAAACTGGGAACAATAAAATCGTACAGTTGTGAGTCTGGATATCGTAAAACAGCAGCAGAGGCCACATGCACACGAGACGGATGGACACCAAAACCACTGTGTGCTGGTATGTTCTTCTGTGGAGTATTAAAATCTTTGTTATTCACATAATATCAATTATATGATTATGCTGATTGTTTTTTTGTTTGTTTTTTTTTTAGAAATTATGTGTGACCTACCAAAAGTCCCAAATGCAGAGATTGTGGGAAGTCAAAAATCAAATTACAAAACCGGTTCAAGAATAGGATATAAATGTCGCTCTGGATTTGAACCAGAGGAGCCTGTACAAATCACCTGTAATTCCAAGGGCCAATGGACAGGCATACAGCAATGCAGTGGTATGGTACAGCTTATTAACATTTTGCCTCTAATTCCATTGAATGTCGTGAAACAAGAATTTTTGCTATATCCAATCAAATTATTATGTATCTGTGCATTGATGAATTGTAATTAGTATAATGGATGTTTTACAGAAATGTGTGCAGCACCTAACATCCCAAATGCAGAGATTGTGGGACGTCAGAAACCAAACTATGGAATCAATTCAAAAGTAGAATATAAATGTCGTCCTGGATTTAAACCAGAGGAGCCTGTTGAAATCACCTGTGTTTTCCAGGCTCAATGGACAGGCATACTGCAATGCACTGGTATGTTACAGCTTATTGACGTTTTGCTCTAATTTCATTATGTTAATGTTGTAAAACCAGAATGTTTTTTTTTTCCCCTAAATTCAGTCAAATTATTATATACATTTGTGGTCAAAAGGTTGCATACACCTTGCAGAATTTGCAAATTGTTAATAATTTTAACACACAAAAAAGATGATGTTTGCAGATGTTTACAAACAGTGTTCAAGATAAATTTAAAGTTGAATTTAAAAAAAAAAGTAACCCCATTCAAATGTTTACATATGCTTGATTCTTAATACCATGGGTTTTTACCCAGATGATCCACGACTTTTTTTAAGTTCTGTGATGGTTGTTCACAAGTCCTTTGTTTGTCTTGAGAATTTAAACTTCCAACTGTTCTACAGAAAAATCATCCGTGTCCCACACATTCTTTGGTTTTCCAGCGTCTTCCGCATATTCAAACCCTTTCCAGCAATGACTGTATGATTTTAAGATCCATCTTTTCACAATGAGGACAAGTGAGGGATTCATACACAACTATTACAAAAGATTCAAACATTCACTGATGCTCAAGAAGAAAACACAATGCTTTAAGGGCTGGGGGGTGTAAATCTTAAAATGGAACTTAAAATCATACAGACCACAGAGGGTAAATTATCGTTTAACATGGCAAAAAAGATAACTATTGTTCATATTAAAGTAAATGCTAAACTTTGGTATGCAACATTGACATGCAAGTCTCTCTTAACTTGGGCCAACAAGCAATCACCCAGAACAACCTATGTTCTATGGTTTAGGACTATTAAGAAGACATCTGGCTAATATTGAGATTTATCAATGCGACATTTCTTGGTGATGACAGTCTAAAAATAAAATAAGAAGAAAAAGAAAGAAAGAAAGAAAGAAAGATGTAATTTTTCATTTTTAAAAATGTGTATGTGCTGCTGCGCGTCCCTGTGTGTGTAAGAAGCAAAGTGTATTTGCGTTGTGCACCCGCCTATAGGCGCATATTACAAACGCACTCTTTAAATAACAAAGAAAAAATATTGCGCCAGACTTTATACCAAGTTTGAGTTGGTCTATGGCGCAGTCTATTTTCAGTTCCTCAAAATAGCAACGCGCCAACAATGCGCCTGAACACATCTCTTTTTAAGATCAGCATGCCCATGGGCGCACAAATGAGCGCAAATGCATTTGCTATTTAAACAACGCGACGCAGGACGGGAAAATGAGAACTGCGTCGGGCTGAATGCGCCGCATTGTGCCGGGTCTATGATAGGGCCCAATGACTCATAATCTACATTTATACAAGAGAACCATAACTAAAATTATTTATTGATTTATTTATTTATTATTGAGTTATTGTTTTGTTGGTTTCTTTATTTTTTATATGTTTTCATATTCAGTGGTGAAATGTCCAGACATTCGCACAGATGGGGAGGTGACTGCATCGGGTAACACAGAGGAGGGAAGTTATGGTGATGTTATTCAATTTGATTGTGTATCTTCTGACAAAGTGATAGACGGAAGTAATGACATTCACTGTGAAGAGACGGGAAAATGGAGTGATGCTGTTCCAAAGTGCAAAGGTTAATTTCCATTGATTATTTTTTTGTTTGTCTGTATCTTCACCCAATGATCACAGATTCCTGTCCTTTACTCAAATAACCACTTTATTTATTCTTGTTTCTCTCACTTTTCATACAGAGATAACATGCGCAGCACCTGTCATACCAAATGGATATGTTGTTGAGCCACGGCCAGAATACCAGAAAGATGCCACATTAAAATACAAATGCAATAAAAGGTTCAAGCCCCGAGAGGGAATCCCCAAATGTGATAAATTTGGCTGGACTCTGAACGCAGGATGTGATGGTACTACAATACTTCCAACCATATATTTTTCATAATGCAAAAGACTTGGTAGCATCACACATGAACTGAATCATTCTTTAAAAACATTTTTTTTTTAAATAAGCCTAATTCAAATTAAGCCCAAGTTATATCTGGCTAATTTGTGACTAAATTTGGTTTGTAGTTATTGAAAAATGTATATTTTCCAACCATTTAACACAGTGTAACACACTGAATTAAACACGAAAATTCTAAAGTAGAAAGAAAGACTGAAATAGTATTTTCTTAAAATAAAAGTATTTTCATAAAATACACTGCAATAATATGTATTTCTGTTACAACTTCGTAATTTTACGGTGTAGTTTAACAGATACTGCACTGTAGAAACTGTGCCTCTAATACTTACAGAATATATGAACAACGA